TTTTTGATGATGACAAACAACCTGCATATCTCATCTCGTGAGTGGAATAACATTCATTCAAAATTTGTTAGTGCACAATGCCACATTTCCCCCTTAGTTCAATGCCCCTAATTCCATAGCCAACCTTTACAACAAAACTTCCCCTTTTTGACATCATTGAAAAGGTGAAGCAATAAACATATTCAAGTTAAATGCAAGGTAATAAAGAATTCAGGGCCTTGGGCCACACAGAACATGTGTATGTAAGCATAAAGAGAATATTAAACCACACATGAACATGGCAGAAACATAAATAGCATTAGATCATAAATACTGACCAATGTAGTTAGTCAAACCAACACAAAGCCACAAGAGTTTTAATCAGGATTGAAGAACAAAGAGGGAAACTAGGGAAACAAGACATTTTTAAGACGGAGGGGGAAAGGGATTGATGATGCGCATAAACAAAGACAGACGCTCATTTGCATCCTCATGAGCCTTGATAAGTTGTATGTTGAGAGCCTTAACTTCCTCACTGGGTGAGGCATTTGTCTTCAGCAGCCTTTCATTTTCATCCCTCAACTTTTGCAACACCTGCTCATTTCCATCGCTGGTACCAGGTCCCCTCGAAACCGCCTTCTGTAATTCAGACCTCAGTGAAGCGATTTCAATCTCCTTGTTATTCAGAATCTCAGTAAGATCAGTCACTTTCCATTTAAGAGCAACCTGCTGCTCTAGAACATCTTTCACTTGAGATCTGCCCCTAGCTTTTCCTTCAACACACTCACATTCCAGCATAATGGCAAAGAGGTTGATCTCTTCAAGTTCATCAAGCTTCTCCATGAGAAACAGATCAGCCGCAGATGCCACTATTGTTTTTTTTAGTTCTGGTCACTAACACCTTGTTGATGAACTCAAAAAGCAACTGATATTTCCCTTTGAGAAACCTTTTCGGTAACCCTGCATTCTTGACATCTCCACGTTTTGTGGCAAGTGCATAAAAAAGATTTGATATTCCAAATTTGGTTAGAATGTCAGGGTCAAATACTCTGCCATTCAAAACCTTATGGTTCTCTATTGCCGTTATCCTCTCCTCTCTTGTCATTTTCTTTTCTTCACTTTTGTTTTTGCACCCTAGGACTTGGTCCCTTTATGAGTTTTAATTTTCAGCCACCTGTTTTCTATCTTTCTCCCTTTTAACAGGAGATTTCTTTACAACCTTCTGTAGTAGAAAAGGAGAAGTTGAATGAACTAGGGTTTTCAACTTCTTGGGAGATAGGGATCTTTGAAGAAGAATTAGAGTTAGGCATTTTGAGAAAGAGAGAAAAGCTTTGGAAAAGGGATTAGTGAATTTCAACAAGAATTGTTTGATGAGATTTTGTAATTTGATTCACTAAGAGAAGTAGTATATAAAACCAAAAAGACATCGGGTCCCCAACAGTAGCGACCTTTGGTTTAAAAGCAAAAAGACGTTTGAAACTGACACGATGAATGGGCGAGGGACACGTGGCAGGGATGTTGACATTTAGACAGTGTAGTATAATTGATACTAACCTCATGAGGACCAGGTCCTCCTTGTGATTGAACCTTCCTTTCAGCTAAACACACCATGAGTGTATGCCTGCATTAAGGTACCAGAAGTGAATTCTTTTATGACAAACATTAAAACAAGTATAGATACCTGCCCTCTGTAACATAATCAAAATAGAAGATTTTTGTGCAAACTTGTCAAGGAATCAGGTAATCTTGTGCATCCTCAGCCTCATCATGTTTTTAATGAAACATTCTTTACTCAATGACTTTGTAAAGATATCAGTCAGTTGGTCTTCAGTCTTACATAACTTCATCACCACATTTTTCTTCTCAACATTGTCCCTCAGGAAATCAGTGATGATCCAAGAAAATGTTCCATGCCTGATATACTCTTTCAATCTACAAGAAAGCTTGCATAGTCAGCATCTGCAAAACCAATTAGATCAAGTGAGTCACCTGTTAGGTAGAAGAGGACCATGCCCTGAGTTCCCTTCAAGTATCTCAAGATACGTTTAGCTGCCTTTAGATGGGATTTCTTTGGTGCTGCTTGAAATCTTGCACTCATCCCTACACTGAACACTGTGTCTGGCCTGCTTGTAGTGAGGTACAGAAGTGACCCTATTATTCCCCTATACATAGTCTGATTTACCTCAACTCCATCTTCATCTAAGTCAAGCTTCACACTTGTGCTCATGGGAACATATAGAGGTACCCTGAACAAACTGTTTGATTTGCAAGCCTAGGAAGAAAGTGAGTTTTTCCTGTCATGCTCATTTCAAACTCACTGCTCATCAGATCAGCAAATTCCTTGCAAAGTAAATATGTAGTGACTCCAAAAATGATATCATCCACATAAACCTGCACAATCAACAACTCCTTTCCTCTGGATTTCAAGAACAGAGAATTATCAATTTTACCTCTTTTGAACCCATTTGCAAGAAGAATTATTGACAGGCGTTCATACCAAGCTCTGGGAGCTTGTTTCAACCCATACAGAGCCTTGTCTAACTTCAGCACATGATTTGGCAGTTCTGTATCTTCAAAGCCCGGTCGATGTTTGACATGCACTTCTTCCTTCAGATTCTCATTCAAGAAGGCACTCTTGACATCCATTTGAAAGAGTTTGAATTCCATATGAGCAGCAAATGCTATCAGAATTCTGATGGCTTTCATTCTGGCTATAGGAGCAAAAGTCTCATCATAGTCAATCCCCTCCTCTTGGTTGTACCCCTGCACCACAAGCCTTGACTTTTCTAGTAATGGTTTCATGCTCATCAAGTTTGTTTCTGAAGATCCATCTTGTTCCAAAAACTGTTCTGTTGATAGGTCGAGGGACCAGGTGCCACACTTTGCTCCTCTCAAACTGATGGAGTTCTTCTTGCAATGATGTTACCCAGTCTGCATCTTGTAGAGCTTCTTTGATGTTCCTTGGTTCAATGGATGACATAAAGGCTGATTATGCAACTAGATTTCTTGTCCTGGATCTAGTTTCAATTCCCGAGTCAAGTGGAGAGATGAGATTGTCCAATGGATGTGAGAATTGATGTTTCCATCCGGACTTTCTGATCAACTCTTCTTCGATTTCAGCATCAGATTCAGCATCATCAACTTCATGATTTTGAGATGGAACATTCTGGGTAGTATTAGAGGGACCAGGTGCTCCTGTGAGATCTGCAGCAATTTCCTTTGCAACCTGTTTGTTTCCAGGATTTAGGATATCCTTGTCTTCCCTTTTCTTGATCAGCTCTTCCATCTCATGGTCTCCCTTCATCACTTCTCCTCTACTTTGAATTCTGACAGGTTCACACAGATCCATGTGGAAAAGTTCCAAAGGTTTGGTAGTTCTCACACCCTTCTTTGCCTTGAAAGAAAATTTGGTTTGTTTGCCTTTTGCACAGGCGTCACAGACTTTGTCATTTGAGAACTTCAGCTTTGGTACTCCGCGGACCAGGTCCCCTGCAACAAGCTTGTTAAGTAAAGAGGTACTTACATGACCCAGTCGTCTATGCTAAAGATTTGCATCATCAGTTTGAGCACTCAGACATGACAAGTTGTCTTCTTCAGTAGAATCAAGATCAACAACATACACATTCTTGACTCTTTTTGCAGACATTACAATTTTCTTAATTGCACAGTTTGTAACTACACACCCTTCAGATATGAACTTGACTTCATTTTTCCTTGTCGCAAATTTGATACACACTTAAGAGATTAAACTTCAGACCATCCACATAGTGTACACTGTCTATGGAATGATCTGGAGTTCTTCTTATCTTGCCAATACCAAGAATAAAACCTTTCTTTCCACCGCCAAATGACACACCACCACTTTGGTGTGCTTCCAAAGAGAGAAAGTTTGGAGTATTTCCAGTCATATGCCTTGAGCATCCACTATCCATGTACCAACATTGACTACTCCCTCTCTTCTGCACAATAATCACGTATTAGACTTAGGAACCCACTTCAAACGGAGTTCCCAAAAACTGTCAAAAGGTTTAATGAGAAACCTTCCTGTCCATGGAGGTAAAGTGTTATTGCTAAAATGGTAACCAGGACCAGGTCCCTTATGTCCCTTTTTAACATCATTTTCAGATCTAACAAATTTCACATCCCTTTCTTTAGCTTTTCTCCGACTCTCACATTTCTCTTTCAAATGACCATTTCGACCACAATGAGTGCACAAAAGGTTGTCAGATACAGACACATATTTGCTATGAGGATTATATGGGGGTTCTATTGGTCTGCGTCCCAACCCTTTCTTTCCATTGAAATTCTGATTAGACAGATTAGAGAGTATCTTAGAGGAGTCAGTCTATTTTAGAGAGTGGCTTAACTCCTCCTTGACCTTACTCAGATCCTTTCTCAGTTGAGAATTTGTTTCAAGAGAAGCAACTAACTTGGACTCAAGAATTTTAAGCTTTTCTTCCAGTTCTTCCTCAAGGATGCTAAGCTTTCTCTTTCCACCAACTGAGGTACCAGGTCCCTCACTGGGTTCCAGGCTATCAGTCTCGAGGATACCTATCCTGATACTCAGTTCAGACATTTGAGTATTAAGAACTGAGTTTTCATCTTCGCACAGACCCAACTTTTCACTTATCATCAAATTTTCAGAGGTCAGTTCATCAACTGAGTCAATTAATAGAGCAGTAAGTTTTCTCAATTTTTTAATGGGAAGAGATTCTAAATCATCTTTAAGATCGAGAAGAGTTACCTCATTTTGATCATCTTTATCATCGGATTCAGCCATTAAAGAGAAAATGGAGTTGAAGACATTTTCATCATTTTCAATAGCCATCATTGAAACATCTTCATAACTTTCTGCATCTTCTTCTGACTCACTTGAATCATCTCCCCATACAACAAAGGCTTTTCTGAACTGATCAACATGGGCCTTCATCCGAGCATGGTCTGGGACCAGGTCCCTCTTGCGCGGTCTGGTGTCATGAGTTTCCTGCTTTTGACTGGGGCAGTCCCTCATGAAGTGACCAGGCTTGCCACATTTATGGCAGAGATCATTTGCAGTAGCAGTTCTGCTAGCAGAGGTTTTCTTTTGGAAGCATCTATGCTTTTTGATGATCTTATGAAATCTTCTAGTGACATACGCCATCTCATCCTCCTCCTCAATCACCTCACCTTGAGACATTTTCAAAGCAATGGACTTTTCCTTCTTTCCTTCCTTCACAGTCGTCCCTTGTTTCTTGTTCATCTCGTAGGTCTGAAGATTTCCAATCAGTTCATCCATGGGAAGAGTAATTAGATCTTTGGCTTCTGTTATGGCATCCACCTTGCTTTCCCAAGATTTAGGAAGCACTTTGAGAATCTTGCGAATTTGCTTGCTGACAGGAATAGGCTCACCCAGACATCTAAGCTCGTTGGTAATGGAGGTGAATCTTGAGTTCATTTCAAAGATAGTTTCACCTTCCTTCATACAAAAATTCTCGTATTGATTCGTAAGCATATCGACCTTAGACTCTTTTAACTCGTTGTGTTCCCTCATGGGCTGTTTGGAGACAGTCCCATATCTCTTTGGCTGATTTACAGGCAGAAATTCTGTTGTATTCGTCTGTTCCAATTCCACACACCAGAATCTTCTTTGCCTTGTAGTTCTTTTCAATCGTTTTCCTATCTGCCTCATTGTAGTCTTTTCTGGTTTTGACAACATTAGTAGTAAGCTCCCCATCATTCACCTCCTTTGTAGGAATATATGGTCCATCAAGGATAATGTCCCACAACTCAGAGTCCTCAGCGTTGATGTAGTCGTGCATTCGATTCTTCCACCAGCCATAGTATTATCCATTAAAGCGCGGTGGCCTGGTGGAAGACTGACCTTCCATATTAGGTGGAGCAGTCATTCCTTCTGGATCTTTTCTTTTCTTGGTGTTAACCAATTTGGAAAGACAAACTCTGATTCCACTTGTTGGAATGTATGCGTCCACGAATATCGATGGGACCAGGTCCTCAGCACAGTTACAAAACAGACAGTAAAATAAATACTGAAAGTAAAGATTGCACAAACAACTTTACGTGGAAAACCTCTTTGCTCAAGGGAGTAAAACTACGACCTAGCCTGCCAGGACTTTTCAAATTGCTTCCACTAATCTTCTCAAAGCAAAAGTAAAAGTCAGTTTACAAAATGAGATTAACCTACTAATCTCCACACTAAGCAATATATCTTATTACTTAGACGAGCCTAAGAAGATAAAACACTACCCACTAAGCTATCAGCCCTAGATAACTTAGACTTTGCTAAGCGGATACCACACCGCCCACTAAATCAACTAGCTCCTAGATGACTTAGACTTTGACTGAGCAGATACAACACTGCTCACTAAATCGGCTAACTCTAACCGACTTAGACCTTTCCACACAGAAACAAATATCTAAATCCTTTATAGACTAGGGAAAAAATTACAATATACACACGAAAGTATAACTCCTAAGACACACTCAGATGCTTGATACTGTTGGAATGTATGCGTCCATGAATATCGATGGGACCAGGTCTTCAGCACAGTTACAAAACAGAAAGTAAATTAAATATTGAAAGTAAAGATTGCACAAACAACTTTACGTGGAAACCTCTTTGCTCAAGGGAGTAAAACTACGACCTAGCCTGCCAGGACTTTTCAAATTGCTTCCACTAATCTTCTCAAAGCAAAAGTAAAAGCCAGTTTACAAAATAAGATTAACCTACTAATCTCCACACTAAGCAATATATCCTATTACTTAGACGAGCCTAAGAAGATGCAACACTGCCCACTAAGCTATCACTCCTAGATAACTTAGACTTTGCTAAGCGGATACCACACCGCCCACTAAATCAACTAGCTCCTAGATGACTTAGACTTTGACTGAGCAGATACAACACTGCTCACTAAATCGGCTAACTCTAACCGACTTAGACCTTTCCACACAGAAACAAATATCTGAATCCTTTATAGACTAGGAACAGATTTACAATATACGCACGGAAGTATAACTCCTAATACACACTCAGATGCTTGCAGCTTGATCGGGTCCTTGTTGTGCTTGCTGGAGAATACTTCACCAAAATGGTCTTTGCTTGTATACTTGAGAAGTTTCAAGATGCAAAAACCTATAAAATGATAGACACAAAACTCAAACTCAACAAAGATGCTTCAGCACTTTATAAGATCCTTTTGTTGAGTGTGAGTATTGTTCTACCTTGAAGATGGCTTTTTCCTCTTAAGCTTGTGAGTTTTTATTTGCCAAAATCTTGAGTTTGTGTTTTGTGTTAAGAGATTATATCAAAAAGAACACAAACTCATTGGGACCTCCCATTGGCTGAGAGCCTGCCTCTCTGTAAGGACGTGCACCTACCACATCAGAAGTGGCAACTTTTCTGACAACTATCTTGTCGTCCTTTCACATCGCAGTCTTGCAGGGACCAGGTCCCTTGCAAACTTCTCTTAGAAGTTCTTGAGAATATGTGCTGGCTCTCACCTTTTGAATGAATGAATTAGTTTGTTGTTTTTCCTTGGATATATTTAGACATGAAAAGTTATTATTCAATGAACAAGCAACCTTGTCGCTTCTGATTGGTGGAGTACTCTGCAGCTTCACCAACTTTCTGACGCAGACAATTTTCCAGCTGTACAACACTTTGACCACTGGACGAGTATTCATACTCTGCAGAGGACCAGGTCCCTGCACTTGTGAGGAGATCATCAAAACATCAGGGAAAATAAGAACTTATCATATACTCACTTGCTCGAGTCTTGAAAAGTTAAGTATGTTTGGTCTAAGTTTGTCCTCAAAGGTAAGGTAGTGGATCCTGAAGTCATTAATGAACATGTTCTCCAAATTAACCTTGAAAAAATTGAGTTTCCAAGGGTGGTCACATATGTTTTAAGATGTCCTTGTGACCGTGCATAAGGAAGAGATTATTGTGGAATTTTACACAAATTTTGTGATGCTTGAGGGTTTAGTTGTGAGTTCACGGTCAAATAGGTAATTGAGATTGTCTTCAAGCTATGTGAAGATTTTACAAGTTCATGTGGCTGGCTTGGATAAATATATTAGGAGAAAGGATGTCAACTCCTTGTTTACAAGGAAGTTCACTCAAGGGAAAGCAAAGAAGAAGCCTATAAAAGTCTTGAAGGGAGCTAGAGACCAAGTCTTTCCATGAGATTCTATTTGAGAGATTATGCATAGGGGGAGTGTACACATGAGTTTATTAATAGAGAACCTAGGAGCTATGAACACTTCGGACATGAAGTATAACACATTAATTTGTCTGCTCTAATAATTAAGCACATGGCTAGGATCATCGACCCTGACCCTGACCCTGGCCCTCATGTTCTAGTCTATGGGTTCCTTCACACTTCTATGTTTGAGGTTTGTGGGACCCATCGAGTAAAGGAAAGACTGTCACCATAAAGGACATGATTGAAAAGAACACATTGGTTCTAAAGCCACCACCTTGTCACACAAATATTCATAAATCTACGGACAGCTCAAGGTCAAAATGGCATCCATTCAAAAGAAATTATTGTACTAAGGATCTAATTGCCTCACAGGCTGAGATCCTCAAGCTTAAGGATTAGATGCTTTAGCAGAAACTAATTGATCATAGTGCTCTTGGTGATACTCCTTCTCATTGTCCATAAGAACTATGCTCCCTTGGCTCCTTCCTAACTCCCAGTCTTTTAGTGCTCATAACCTCTTTTTTTGCTTAATTCCTCCGGACCTGGTTATTTTTGTTTTGGCAATTTTATGTTTTATATCTGACAATATATATCATGTTTTGTTTAGGGCCGACCTGATGGCTTAATATTGTGCCTATTTTGAATGTCGTTCATTGGATTCCTTTGGTTTATTTTGAATGTTGTGATTTATGCAGTTTTGAGGATTAACAAAGAAGGATAAAACACGTGAGTCAACATGATCCAAAGGTATACTATCACGAGCAGCTAAATTCGGGGAAAGCTTTTAAAATTAATAAAGACAAATGTGTAGAAATCAATGAATGGATAGTGTTAATTTCGTGATAAATCTCAAGGAAATAAACATCAGGTGAATTGAAGAGAAAGAATCAATAAGTTTGAATTGAAGAAGGAAGCTAAAGAGGCAAGGATGAATTGAAGAAGGAGTCTCATGACGAATTGGAGTTCAACTACAATACAAAAGAATCAAGCAGTTTGAAGGAGTATAAAATCACAAAGAAGTCCGAATAAAAGTGCTAGGATACTATGAAAGGAAAGAATTCAGACGGCAGGAGGAGTCCAACTCAATATTATTCAAAAAAACCAAAAGAAGTTGCATCCTAGAAGAACTAGTATCCAAGAAACTCAAGTTTTTTTTTCTTCTGAAAACACTTGATTGCATTACTTTAAAACATGTTTCAGATGTCCATAAGACACCATTGCATCCGTTACAACACAACTTGGAAAGGCATAGTCCCAAGAAATCCTGAAATATAAATTTTTGCTAGATTATGGGCTAATACATTCCATGTTCGAGGAATATATATAATCTCAATTTCTTCAAAAGACTACATCAATCGCCAGACATCCTCGCAAATGGTCTCTATTTCCCAAGATGTTATCAAATTCTTTTGCAACATTTGTATGACATTCTTTGCATCTGACAGTATGTGAACCGTTGACCAACCCTTTGGTAGTGCTCTTTCCACAGCTTCCTGAATTGGTAGTGCTTCAACAGTTATGGCCTTCCCTACAAATTGAATAGGGGTACCAAAGGCATGAAGCAAATAACCAAAACTATCTATAGCTGCCATTCCGATGCTTGCTTTTTCCTTCTCCCTTTGTAGACCTGCATCTGTGAAAACAACCCCATCTCGGGCCAAAGTAATGATTACTTCATAAATCTTGTTTGGTATAGGATTCACAACTGCCGATTTTTTCACAACATCGTCATATTCATGTAAATCAAATAAAGCCTTATTGACTACGTCATTAGGTTCATATGTACCACCATTAAAGCATAATGAATTTTCTCGCTTTCCACATTTGCCATAAAAGAGAGACACTTAATCTTAGTAGCTCAATGGATTCTGGTTATTGACATGTATTACAAAATAAGTCATTCCACCATATTGCAAAATTCATAACATTTTCTACATTAGGCCAGTTAATGGGGGCCAACTTCCATACTAGTTGTGCTTTTGGGCAATTGAAAAACATATGATCAACCGTTTCAGTTTCTAAGCCACAGACCCTACAAACATCACAATTTTGATGCAATCTCTTAGAAATATTTGCACTAACAGGAAGGACATTAAGAATGCATTTTCTAAGGAAATGTTTGTATTTGTTTTTATTTTAAGTGACCATAAGAAAGTCCAAAAAGATTTTTGGGAAAGATTGACCACTGGCTTGAGGTTTTTTCAGTTCTAGGGTCAGTACTATTAGCTAGGCTTTTCGCTAGATGATAACCAGATCTTACCTCGTACTTTCCTGAATTTGTATAATGCCAGATAACTTTATCAGAATTTCCAGTGCTAGATATTGGGATAGACAAATTAGAGTTGATATCATTCGGGCACAAAATGCTGATGAAGATCTTGGAAATTCCATAAATGATGGTGTTGATCTATAAGGTCGCTTACCCTCAACTGTGGATTTATTTGTGTATGTCCTTGTAGGGGTTTGAAACCGATCGAAGTAGGAATTCAAGGATCACTCCAAACCTTAATGTTTTCTCCATCTCATTCCTTGTTGCAACAAATCTCGTTCCCACATAATACTTTTCCAAATCCAAGAACTTGCTGAGGGACATCTCCTGCACTTAGGAAAGAAGTATTCGGAAAATATTTACTTTTTAGCATCCTATGAAGCAAAGAATCCTCTTGGGTTAAAATCCTCCACGCAAGTTTTTCAAATAGGGCCTTGTTAAAAAAGTTTCAGATCTCGAAAATCAAGGCCCCCTTGGGACTTTGCCTCACAAAGTTTCTGCCATTTTTCGTCGTGCATTTTCCTTTTCCCCTCATTTCCCCCCACCAAAAATCAGAAAAAATGGTAATAATCACCTTTCCTAAATTATCTGGAAATTGAAAACATGATAATGCATATGAAGGAATAGAAGAAAGTACTGACTTAAGCATGACTTCTTTACCTGCAGGGCTTAAAAAAACTACTCTTCCAACCCTTTATCTTAGTTTTAACTTGTTCTTTGATAAACTCAAGTATTTTCTTCTTTGATCTTCCAACTACCGCAGGTAATCCTAGATAAAGTCCCAAATTATCTCTATGTATTTGTCCTATCTCCGCTATAATATTATCTTTTTCTTCCTCGGTATTATTTTTGCTAAAATATATTGCTAATTTTTCAAAATTAACTTTCTGGCCTGAGCAAAGTTCATAAGTTCTTAGAATTTCAGAAATTTTTACCGCACTTTGAGTATTAGCTGAACAAAATAAAAAGGAGTCATCAGCAAAGAAAAGATGATTTACCATAGGACCGCCCCTTCTTAGGCTTATTCCACGTAACTCTCCTTGCTCCTCAGCTTGGTTGGAAAGTCCTTCAGCACATAATATGAACAAATATGGAGATAAAGGGTCACCTTGTCTTAGTCCTCTAATAGGTCGTACAACCCCAACAATTTCACCATTTATATTAAACTTGTAAGTAGGTGTCGTGATACATTGCATAATCCAGCTAACGAAAGTGTCATGGAAACCCATTTTCAAAAGTAAAGATTGGACATATCCATTCCACTCTATCGTAAGCTTTTGCCATGTCTAATTTTAAGGCCATAACTTTATCGTTAGCTCTCATCGTATTTTTCAACACATGTATACACTCATGAGCCAAGACAACATTATCAACAATATGTCTACTCCCTACAAAGGAAGATTGATTATGAGAGATTATACTAGGCAAATACTTTTTTAATCTTGCTCCAATAATCTTAGTTATAATTTTATATATGGTAGAGCACATGATAATAGGTCTAAATTGACTAATAACACTAGAATTCTTTACTTTTGGGATTACAGTAATAAGAGTTTGATTCCAAGAGGGTAAGAGATATCCTGAATGGAAGAAACTTTTAACGACAGCTATAATGTCTGTAGATAAAACATTCCAATAATTTTGAAAGAAAAAAGGGACCATTCCATCTATCCTGGTCCCTTTAAAGGATGCATCTCAAAAACCGCATGTTTCACTTCTTCATCTGTCACTTCTCTAATAAAACTTTGGTTGATGGGATCTTCAACTAATCTCGGGATTAAGTTCAAAATGGGATAAAGATTTGTTGGTCTAGAGGTAGTAAACAAATTTTCATAATAATTTTCCACTTCTCTAATAATATCACCTTGTTCTGATACCTAATTTCCATTTGCTAGGTAAATACCTTTGATGCTATTGCATTTTCGTCGCTGAATAGTTTTCATATGAAAAAAGGAGGTATTTTTATCCCCCTCTTGCAACCATAAAGCTCTAGATTTTTGTTTCCAGTATGCTGCTTCTTCTTTGTAAGCTTTACCTAATTCTTTTCTCAAAAGTCAAAGTTTAGGGAGGTCAAAGCGATCAGGATCATTTTTAAGCTTATCAATTTGATTTTTGATCTCAATTATTCTTTGTTTTGAGTTCCCTTTACCCCTTCTCAACCAAGACATTAATGAGGCGCGACATTTTTTTAGTTTGAAACTTACTTTGGATTATTCACTGCATCCTTTTCACTCCATCTTTTATCAAACTAGAAGCGTCACTTTTTTCTTATAGGCTTAGGATCGGTATTTAGTAAAAGAGCAGAGTGATCTGAAGCCTCAGTATTCAAATGAATTATTTGGACCAAAGGTAATTCTAAATGCCATCTGGGAGATACAATGGCTCTATCTAATCTCTCTTGGATAATTCCATCATTCTCCCTGAAACACCACCAAGTCCAAGGCTTCCCTTTAAACCCTAAATCAACTGCCCCTAAGTTCCACAAGAAATTCTTAAAGTCTTTAAAAGAAGCTACTTCTCTACTTCTACCTCCTACCTTTTCCGAGTTGTCCATAATATCAATAAAATCTCCAATAATGATCCAGAGAGGACCCCAATTAGCCGATTTTAACGTTAGTTCTGTTAGTTGTGCTTTACGAATAACTCTATCAGTGCTCAAATACACAAAGATGCACCAATATTTAAAATCAGTTGAGAGCTCATGCACCAAAGTTTCAACATAAAACTGCAAAGTGTGAGATTGACAAACCTGAATTTTATCATTCCAAAATAAGCTCAAGCCTCCAGATAAACCAACAGGGTCCACAATTGTAGCATAAGGCATATTAAGTTTCCTCTTAACTCGCTTAACAATAATATCCTTATTTTTGGTTTCACTAAGAAAATTATATCTGGGGAGTGGAGATGCATAGTCTCCTTCAAAAAAGGAACTGTCAAGGACCCCCCAAGCCTCGATAATTCCATATCATTGCCCTCATTGTGGAGAGGGAAGCCATTTGGGGTTGGCCTCCCGCTCCACCACAATTTGATTCTTTTTTGTTTGTATACCAGAAAGTAACTCAGTATCACCTTTTCGTTTCTCCCTTATATATTGCATACATTCTGCTAAAACAGAACCCTTATCAAGAGTTGCATTAGAAGTATCCTTCTTCAAAATAACAGAACATCCAACTTGTCTGGCCATTCGTTTCCAATTTCTTGTTTTCCTCCCCTCATTGTTATTATCTTTCATTTGTTTAGATAGATTATTTTGTTCTGTTATAGGTTCACATGATAATACTTGAGACGAGTCTTTACTACTATATATAATAAGATTAGTAGTACATATACCTGGTCCTTGTTTTCTTGTTCAGTAGTTGTTTTGGTGTGGATGTCCATCTTTTCAGGAGCTGTGAGAACTTGATGTATGTTGTCTTGCACTTCCTTCGAGTTAATCTGTGTAATATCATCTTTTCCCCTTGTTGTGTTGTCAAACATGTTCTCATTAGCTGAATTTTGTGAACTCATGTCATTCTTCTTCGAAGCCATATTCAAAACATGTTTTGAGATTGTTGTAATCCTAACATAATTATCTTCTCCAGCATTATCTCTTTCCACCACCAAATTCTTTTTCATGTGATCCATAATTTGTTACCTCCATAGGTTGCATTTGGTTTAAGTCCTCCATGTTTAGTACATTGTTATCCTTCCTGCTCAAACCCGTAATTTCCTTCCCTTTTGGTTCATTTTGACCCTGTGTATGAACTACTTCAACACCTTTTTCCAAGTGTTGCAAACTGTTTACAATTCTTTCAACTCTTCTCACATTAACCACTGGACTTCCATTAGTATTGTTTGTCCCTTGTCGCCTACACTTTTCTGAGAAAGGAGCATGGTTCTCTGCTTTTAGCCAAATCCCAAACTAATCAGTTTTAACTGTGCCGTGCCGTACATCCTTGGCTCTGTGGGTACATGTTTTCTCATTATGTCCTAGCAGACCACAATAATAGCACACATAAGGCAGATTTTTGTATCTTATTTCAACCCATGTAGTTTCCGATCCTAGCTTGATCAACTTACCCCTAGGTAGTGGCTTAGTTATATTCATCCTCGCTTTCAGCCTTATATATTGTCCCTCTTTGCTTCCATTTTTAGGGATTACAATATCCACGATACCTCCTAACGTATTTCCGATTTTTCGGCCAATGCCCATTGACATCCAGTGTAAAGGGATGTTCCAAACTTGAACCCATAACTCACATACATTAAAAGTTGAAGAAGTACTCTTCAATCCTGGTTCCCAGGTATGTATATTAAGGAGGAATTTATCATACAACCATGGTGTGCCAAATAATACTTTATTCATACTTTCTTTATCTTTGAATTTGAACTGGAAAAAATTCCATCTGATTTCCTTTATTTGCAGTCCTGTTGGATTTCCCCAAGCCACAGGCATAGTGTTCTTGACACCTTGGAGATTCACTTTCTTATCCAAGACGACCTTACCAAACAGACTTACCTCACAATCATTTGTGTTCGACAGAACATCTGAAATTTCAATTGACACCGTCTCCTTTTCTTCCTCCGTAGGGCAAATTGATGTAATCTTTCAAGAATTTCTTTCGACATCTCTACAATTGTCTATTTTACCGTCCAAGAGGGGTTGAATTGATACTCTCCATAGCCTAATTGCAGCGAAATTTGAAGGTTTTTGATGGTTGAAAATCGATTTAGGGTTTAAGATAGCACCTAGAAATTCTAAAATTGACGGGCAAAGATGACTCAAGGCAGAGTTTGGTAGGCTTGTGAGGTTAGGAATAGTTGTTTGATGGTGATTATCTATAGATTTGGTTAGTAAAACTTCAAGGATTGAATCCCCACTGAGGGGAAGAAAGCTCTCATAGGCAGAGAGAGAAAACCCTCAGTCGGTGGACAAGGGAGTGACTCAGATGATGATTGGAACCAAGAAATTCAAGTTAAGTACAACTTGGAAAGAAAATGTCCATAAATAGAAGAAAAAATTCTATAGAAGACGCAAGCACTCACGTAGCAAAAAGGGCAATTGGAAAATTAACTTCACAAGTGCTATCAGCAGATTACATAGTTTATGCATTAGGAGTTCTTCTTTGCGATTGAGTCTTGATGTAATCTTAGTTCAGTGAATTATAAACTGAATTAAGAGTGTTGTCTTCATATTGGGATAACTTGAAGAGTTGGGAACACATACCTTGGGAGGGTTGTAATTTGATGTTTAGGAGTTAGAGTTAGTTCTTAGGATTGCAAGAGTTGTAATTTGAATTTATAACTTAGAAGTTTAGGTATCAAAGTTAGTTCTTAGTATTACAAGACTTGTAATCTGAATTCATAACTTGAAGTTTAGGAATTAGAGTTAGTTCCTTATGTTACAGAGTCTGTTATCTTAAATTGTTGAGACTCATTGATTTAGTAAAGTTGGAGTTAAATCCTATAGGGGTACATGTCGTGGTTTTTTATACCTTTTGAACCGGATGTTTTCCATGTAAAAATATTGTGTGTCTTTTACTTACTACTCTTAGTGCTTTGTTGGAGCTCGTTAAAGAACCTGTTTCACTCATAGGCGCGAATCTAGAGTAAATTACTAGGTCGTGCAGGGCTTTCTTTCTGAAGCCAAAGTTCGGCCTCTTCCAAGTACTTTCCTTTCCTGCATTCCTTCCTAAAGGCAGAACTGGGTTGCACTACAAAAAAAACTGTGTTTAGCGACGAATTTTCGCTACAAACATATTTCCGTCGCTATGTAGCAACAGATTTGCTACCAATTTACAATTTTGTCGCCAAAAAAGCAAAAAACTAATTGGCATATAATATTACGACAGATTAGCGACGGAATGTTTAGGCCGTCACAAAAATTTTGGCGCTAAATTTGGCGCCCCTTTTTTAGCTACAAAATTAGCGATAAAGTGATAGTGGAAAAAATTATTAACCATTAGCGACGGATTTAGCGACAAATATTTTGTCACTAGTTATATTTCACTCATTAAAATATTTAAGATCAATTGCTACGAAAAAAATTTGTCGTTAAATTAATATCTACTGTCATATGTGTTTTGTCACTAAATCAATAGCTACATAAATTTTATTTAGGGCATAGTAAGGATAACCAATAAAACATGTATGCCCCTCTGCTCTTTTTAACCTAGGGTTTTCTCCCACCTCTGCGACAACTCGTCTTCCCTAGCAGCTCGTCTTCTCCGTCAGCCTGCCCTCTACGGCAGCTTGTCTTCTTCGGGAGCTATCCCCCTGCGGCAGCTCGTCTTATCTGACAACTCTCCCTTTATGACAGCTTGTTTTCTCTGGAAGCTCGCTCTTTGCAGCAACTTGTCTTCACCAACACCTCGCCCATCTCCAGTGGCTCGTCCTCTCCGTCACCTCGTTCATCTCCAGTAGTTTGTCTCTTGCTTTATAGAGTTGAAAAGTATCTCTATTTCCATCTCAGGTAATGTATATTTTCTTGCATTTAATTAGTTATCGATTTTTCTATTTAATTTTGTTAGGGAAGGCTTGTGTAGGAACAATTGTTGATAATTTATTTTTTCTTATATTTTGATGTTTATTTCTTTGAGTCAATATGTAATCGATTGCATTTTTAGGAGTCGTTGATTTTTATATGATTTTCATTTTTGCCTAGGGAATCCTTAGTTTCAAGTCAAGATTATGGCATTTTGAAAGTAGAGAAACTTTTGGTTAATTGAGAGTGTGTTGTGTAGTGGAAAGTTGATGTAATATTAAGAGGGTTAATACAATTGTTCTTTCTTTCTTCAAGAAAATGTAATATCTCTGCCACTAATTTAACCCCCTCTGTTTTGGTTTTGCCATAGAAGGAAAATGTCTTCTTGGCAGCTACATAGCATGAATAAAAAAATATGATTTTGAATAGAAATTTTACATAACAAAAATTTGATCAACAGAGAGTACATAATGACCACTAGTTTGGAATTTGTTTGTATTAAAACTAAGATTCTTTTACCTGTATTTTTTTTGTTCTCAAGTAATGATCACATATTGTATATCACATAAAAGTGAATAATTATTGAACAATTCGAAGAAAGTACTTGTGATAACACACACACACGTATGTATGTATATATATATATACATAATTACATGTATGTCTAGACACACATTTTCAGAATCTGGTGGGATGATCCGGTAAATAAAATATTATTCCATAACCTCATTTATTAATAAAAAGAATTGGTAGAGGATCCTTCCTCCGAGGGAAATCTCACTTGCTTAGTTGGTTAGCTATTTGAAGATACACATTGAGACAAACATGAAATTATAGTTCTAACACACGATTACTACCAACAGTTTCTATTCTAAGTTCAAGTGATTATTATGATTCTTAACAACTTTAGAGTTCAACTAATATCATAATAAATCAGGAAGGATATACAAGAAGGAATGTGGCAAGCCATATCCAGGTTATAGTTTGCATTTCGATTTGTTTTCGAATTAGAAATTTATAGGTAAACCTATTCTGGAATGTTGAAATAAGCTAGCTAAACAGTGTCCATTTTTTCCTTTGTGGATGGTATATATGCATGCAATTCATGTAAAGTATTTATGAACTAAGTTGGCTCTTGAACTATATATTCTTTGCTCTCAATATTCAACTTGTAGACTTCACCACAAAATCTACCCTTTTATTGATATTTTCTTTGTGAGGAACACTTCTGAAAGGTTGTCAAGTTTAGTTGTCATCTATTCTACTTATAAATGAAAATGTTATACTCTCCCTTGAAGCTTTTGGTGTAGTGTCTGCTAAATGTTTAATATTGTGATTCGTCAATGATAGAAGCTTGTAATTACCATTGGTAACTCGTGATATATGGTGTATTCATTTTCTAATTTTCCTGCACTCTTGATGCACTTCTTGTTATAAATAATCTGGTGCATTTGAGAGAAAAGTCTTTTGCATTTGTTGCATAAACTGAGGGTGATAATTTGGTGCATTTGAGTAAAAAATTTGACGTATTTGGCACATAAATTGGGGGTGAAAATCTGGTACAAATTGACATGTTTGTCTTGAAAAGATTTAATAGTCTCTCTATAGAGGTGCATCAGTCTTACAACATTTGTGTATCTAATTCTTTGTGCAGTGAAGCTTTTCCGAGTGGCGTTATTATTATTGGGTTTTAAAGAGATAACAATTATGTGGGCGTTATTATCACTTTTATTTAACTACTTCCTCCATATTTATGTAGACGTTATTATCACTTTTATTTTCATGCTCTACTGAAAAATCAATTCATATCTAATACCTAATCTTTTTTTCCTTACAGAGAGGTGATAAAGCACCAACTTCCAAGTAATAGCATATATCAAGTTAGTTGAGCCACTAAGTTTTGCTTAATAAACGACACTAAGTTGAGTTATCTGATAGGACACAAACTTTCCTTTCAAGCATACTATTCGAATTTTAATTTATGCAAGTGAAATCTACAAAAATAAGATCACTCCTTAGGTTCCCCTTCCATATTGTTAGCTTGTTTGCTACCTTCCTTTTTTCGTACCGCACTGGATGAATCTCACCTTGTTATTTTTTCAAGATTTTTATGTGCCTTTCTTGCTAAAATTACAAGATAGAGGAGCGTCTCTAACATGTCTTTGTTTTACAAAGTTACTAGTTTTCTCCAATTGATACTCGTGGCATCAACATTCATGGTAGTTTGTCTTGCATGAAATTTTTTTACTGCATGAACTTCATACTAATCATAATTAGTGTCAGATTTGTCTTGGTAAGAATTTGAATCAGATGTATCTATATCTTCTTCTAGCCTAGTTTTATTCCATTCACCACTATGGATTAAGGAACTCCAATTTCCTTTTTGCCTCCTATCATAATTATGCCTGTCAATGTTTCTTAGCACAATAGAGATAGAGCCGTTTCATATATTTGCAAATATTAAATGAATTGTGCTTGGTCGGGAAAACTGCATTATATTTTCATGTTTATACATATGGAAATGGTTGAAAATCTCTTTGCACTTGGTGACCAATCTCAATTGTGCACATAGGTAAAAATCTTTATGTGATCTTATTAACCTTATAGATGACATATTCAAATTTATTTATTGGATAAATTGAATGTGTAAAGCCTTTTATATATTTTCGTTTCCAGGATAGATGGAGCTTAAGAATTGTTGGAGAAATAGTGATCACAACAATTGCAGTAGAATGTAGGATAAGATGGATGTTGCAGCTCAAGTGCATTATGAGACTGGTAAGAAAGATAAGGAGAATATTATGGGCTTGGTTCTCAAGGAAACCACTATTATGGCCTTGGTCCTACTTCTGGTTCTGATAATGATCTCTCGAGATTGACATTTGTTAGTTTTGTCTTTAAAACACTATTCTATTGGTTGAAGAACAATTATGAACGTTGATTCTTTAGCATTTATGTATTCTTGGATCGACTATTTAGTCTTTAAATTGCTATTTATATAAAATTAGATTGTTGTAATGCTTATTGAATATCACTTCTTCTAATTTAGTACAATCTATATGGATTTTGAATAAATATATAATAATATAAAAGAAAAAAATGTGACGCTTCTATAATAATTGTGTATAAATTGCGACGGAATATAGCTACAAAAATTCTGAAGCTAACAATTCTTTGTGACGAAATCAACAACCAAATTAGTGACAAATTTTGTATGAAATAGCTATGACAAAGGTCGTCGCTAAAGGTAGCGATGGAATTATATGTCGCTAATCCGTCGCTAGAGTTAGCGACGGACAACAAATTTCGTTGCTAAAGGCTTAGCTACAAGCATTTTAGCGACGGATGAGATTTTGTCGCTAATTTGTCGCTAAATCCCTTTAGCGACGGATTCGGGTGATTTGGCAACGGATTTCGTTTGTCGCTAAAACCTGATTTTTTTGTAGTGTTGGTTAATATCAATCTTCACATTAATGTGCCTCTTCACTTTGATGTATGTGTCTATGTAGCCTCAGTGACCATGAGTCTTCATTATTGCACCCATTGTTGTGTTAATTCGACTGCTTTGTTTCTTTTCAATGATGTCAAAAGGCGAAAGCTATCATTATGTTGTTGATTAAAGGTGTCTTTGTTTGTCATCATCAAAAAGAGAAAAAGTGATGGAATATGTGGGCTCATAATTGATATTTGACATTTTTACGATGACAAATTATAGAAAAACCATATACGCCTATAAAACTTAAACAAGTACAAGTGAGATAGTTACTCAAATGGAAAGAATCTCCGCGAAGGAAAAATCTAAAAGGACTCTCATTAAGGAAGAAATATCCTTAGAGGATCCTACTTCAATAATTCTAAGTTACTACAACCTAATTATTCCACACGTATAAAAGGAAAAAATGGGAGGCAAAACAAATCTAGTTATTGAGTTATCTCAAGGCAATAGACGGCAACATTGAAGGTGAAGAATAAGCAACAACAATCATAGAGCTAGAACTAGACGGTGCAAATTGTATCTTGAAATTACAAGACCAACTCTAATTTGTTTTTAAATACTTTTTTAAATTCTTTTTTTTGTTAGTATGGAAGGTTTAAAGCTTATAGTTAGTTATTCATGACTCGAGGACATTGCAAATTGTATCTCCAAAAACATTTTTTCAAGTCTTTTTTGTTAGTATGGTAGATTTAAATAGTTCATTAACCATTTTTCAACGACTTTTTGTCAAATCTTTTTGTTAGTATGATGGTTCATACCTAAGTTTAAAGTTTCGTCAATGATTATCAACCCTAACTAATTAACCTTTTTCACCCTAAATCTAATTAGCACATAAAAATCCGATATGATTAACTAGTTAATTAATGTAACTTAAAAAGGAATTATCAATTAACTACGACAATGTACTATAATGAACAATTAACAAGTAATAAAATAATCAGCAAGTAATAATACAAGAAACATTTAATATACAATTAACCAGAGAATTGTTTAAAAATTCATCTTTAAAAAAAATTGAGCAAAATGCATGGCAGTACATTAAAATATAGTGCCTAGGATTTGAACTTGGAACCTTCAAAGTAAATTTTGACCCCCTAGGGAATTGTCTACCTTTTAACATGTGTTTAGGGGATTCAAAATCTATATATATATACATAAAAAAATTTTACCTTATATATAATATTATTTTTTGTTTAGGGAATTCGGGTGAACACTCTACCAACCCCTAGATCTGCCCCTAATGGTAATGCGACTGCATGCCAAGAAAAAAACATTGAAAACAAGGGGAAAGGGGACAGAAACTACAATTATATCGAAAATCAAACTAATGAACAAACAAACATGCTTTAGAGCAACATATAAAAGCCATTGAACAAAAATATGTCGGAAATATATACCTAAATCTAAGGTTGTTTAGGGCTGATTTGAATGGAATTGTCCGAAACTAACTTTTATGGTGGCAGGACCTCCCTCAAATGGTTGTTTTTTGCGTTTTCTTTGGGGAAAAAAATTGAAAGGGGGGACCAGTTAGGGGTGTGCATCGGTCGATTCGGTTTTATGTATTATCAGTTCTATTTATCAGTTTTTAGTTGCTAACCAATAATTAATCAATAAGATATTTTTTAACGATTTTTGGTCATTAACGGTTTGGTTTTTGGTTTACCCAATAGAAAATGCTCATAAAATAAACATATGATTTCTCACTTCTCTAACAATTTGGCACGATACAGTGAGACAAGCAAATCAGCTCTAAATGTTTTGATATAGTGAAACAAGAAATATAATGAGAAATTGCATCAATAAGAGTAGATGTAGTACAAAGGCTACCAAAATATAATATGGAAGTAGAAGTATTATGACGTGTGAAGTGTGTATACCATAGTGTAGAGTACTGATATAGTATCTAGTTATGTTAAATTATTAATATTTACTATTTATATAGTAGTAACTTACTATCGTCTTGATGGGTTATCGGTTTACCCAATAGCCCAGTACTAAAAACCGATAACCCAATTATTATTTTTATAAAACCCAATAGCACCCAATAACATTTTCTCGGTGTGATTTTTTGCACCCCTTGGACCGGTGGAGTAGATGGATAGTATCCTTTTAGGAGATATATAGCTAGCATACTAAATTACCTCCATTGACCTTAATGATCGTTAAAAGCAAGCATATGATGAGTTAATGGAGATTATATAGCATACTAACTTAGTGCAACTTCATAAACTTTATTTTTGTTCCTTTTTTTCGACGTCATTTAGGTTTCTTAGAAATGAATGAGGTAGTCTAGCTTGGCTTGGTGCAAGAGAGGATGCTGGGAATGGTAATATACCTTCTGTTGGATAAAAGAAGATTAGTTTTTAAAACAGATTCCTAGGTTTACTGGAGGTGTGAGCATCTCAACCCCCCAATTGCTCAACAATACTCTCAATCCTAGAATTGAGCCATTAATGAAATCTTTCTTGCAAACTTGCAACATAACATACTTGTGCTTTGGAATTGAAACATAAAATACCATCTTGTCAAACATGTAAATAAATATGCCTCTTCTTCATGCGGTAATAGTATCTATGATTGTTGTGAAGCTTAAAAAGAAGAGAACAAAAAACAAGTCACTTCTCAACCATAAGGATTAAGCTTCAGAATCACAGACAGCATCATAATTAGTTTTTACCGACAAATATGACATTATCATCTCCGTACGATTAAATAGAGCATGACAAATGAAATTACGATACACAATACCTGATCTGAACTCGTAAGTCGACCTAAATGTTCAAGACTTTAGAGACAATACATTTTTATTTACAGGCATAAACTGCACAGATAGGAAGGAAATCAAATTGATTAGAACACAAGTGCCTCTAAACCCCACTTTTTTTACCCTCTTCCCCTAGCCTTCTCTCTCATTATATATATATATCACGTACTTGATACCAACACAGTCATCAAATGAAGCAAATCAAAAACTAAGTCACTGCCCTTAATAGCTAGTTAGTGTAGTAAGTGGTTGTCTACGAACAACAAAAAATTAATTGTACAAGGCATCAACTCCGGATCACCATGATCATGTCTCCTCAGCCTTGGGGATTTCAGCCAAAGCATCTTCAGCTCTTACTTTCTGGGGAATAAAATCTACATAGATAGCATCATAGGCAAAGAATGAATCAGCGGAAAAGAGAAGAATACTTTTTATTACAGCCACATCATTGGTTATTGGAAAACCCGTAATTGATACCTGAAAGAAAGTCAAATCTGGGTCGTTTGGAAACAACTGAAGCTGAAACAACCAAAAACATGTCAAGTTACTAAATAAGGTGACTTCTCAGAAACAAATTGGTTATACTTATAAGTTACAACTACAGCAATCAAGTTTACTAAAAAAGATGTTACAACATGTTTCATGGATTATATCTGAGCTGCTCCTTCTAGTTCTCTCCTTAAATTGACACGACAATCAGGACTCCAGAACATTACTTTTTTTTTTTTTTTTTTTTTGATAACCGAGAAATCCGTCTGTGACCCGCCCTTTGGACCAATCACAACCTTCTAAACTAGGTGGATAATGGGCCCGCCCCTCTACCCTTCTCCACTTAAAAGAACATTACTTTATTTTTAGGAAACAGAATTCCAGAAAATTGATGGTTCAAAATTCAGCTGAATTGAAACACTATAATGACAGAGTTCAAGTAATATACACCGTCAATGTTTTAATATTTACACCATCAGATCAACTTTACCTGCTACGACAAGTAACATATAATTTGCCTATACATATCCTATGACCAGATAGTGTAAAATATTATTTACATTGACATTGACTGTGTATAATACTTAAAATCACAATAACAAACAGTGTTCCACCAATCACAACCTCGGTTTAATTTGAACTCTTCGAACTAAATTGCAAATCAAATCAAAAGGTAATAGGAATAGCGAACAACAACAACAACATGCCCAGTGAGATCCCACAAGTGGGGCCACGCGAGGGTGGGGTGTCCGCAGACCTTAGTCCTACCTTGTGTGAGGTAGAGAGGCATAATAGAAACAGTGTAGGACAGCAAAATTGCAAATTCAGGATCATTATATCCACCAATCCTATTTCTGTCCATTTTATATTTTCTTCCTCCAAAATTTTCATTAAAATGTGTTGCACGGGTAGCAATTTGAGAAATGACATTTGAACTCAACATGAGCAATTATAAAATAAGCGGATTCCTTTTCTCTTATTTTACTTCTTTTTTTTTAGTTTCTTTTTTTATTAGGAATGGGTTAGCCCATGAATAGTGGTAGAGAACAAGAAAAAAGAGGCAGGCTTTAACTGGTATTGAAATCATGCACTTGAATTAACATAATAACAATAAGGTCTCGATCCAAAACTAGTTGGGACCAACTATATAATCTTATAGATATTTAGATCCATATGTATTGAGACAATATAAATACTGATGAAACTAAAGAACAATTAAAAACTAGTGTAAACTATTCGTCATTATTATCTTTATAAAATATTCTTCATAATTATGTGTTGGTTTTTTTAAAAGTTGGTGCAATAAAAAGGGTTGAAAATATTTGATTGAAAATGTGTCTCGATATTTTTAGAGATAATTATACTCTAGTGCAGCCCATAAAGTTACTTTACATAATTTATCCAAGGTTTTCAATCCTTACCTAAATTGTCCCAAAGGAGGAGCTTAAGGGCCCTAGAGGGCTGCCATGGGGCCACCGCCCTCTCCCACCCTCCGAAAAATCCAAACTTAGAGCCAAATGGTAGATCTTGATGAGAGGAATATATTTGTATAATAGTGTTTAAAATTGTATACTATTGTATATGGGTGCATAAATACCTCTTATAATTTCGAATAATATTATATATTGATGTATAATATTGTATATCAAGTTCTAAAACATTTTTGTAAAAAAGAAATATGAATATTTTGAATATTGTTATATACCGGACACATATTATTGTATATCGAATTGTGTTTTGGGCTAAAGATTTGAAATGTAAGTTTTGGGCTATATTTTTGCGATGTAAGTCAAGGTGATTGTAAGCACGGGTTAAAAATGATTGAAAATAGTTCCTTGGAAGAACTCGGATCATGTAAGATCAATGAGGCACTGGTACCATTGATGGATTTTTAAAAAGATGGGACAACAAACCATCTCTTCCTCCATTGCAGAGTGACAGAGAAATTGTGGCAGGTCTTTTTGAATTTGAGGGGAATCAAGCTGGTCCATGCTGGAATAGAGAAGGGAATGCATCAGGTCACAAGGAGAGATAGAAGATTGTCCCTGCTTGCATCTGGTGGACAATTTGGAAGGAAAGGAACCAGAGATGCTTCGAAAACAAGAGCATCCCTTTCCAGAGTTTGAAGTTGAACTGTCTTATAACCCTTTATTTTTGGTATAATCATGTCCTCTCCAAAGAGGTGGAGGCTATTACTCACTTTTTAGGTAGTTTAGGAGGGGTATAAATGATAGATCTTTTGGTTTTGCTTACTGTATACTCCTGATGTAATTACTACTGAAATACACCATTGGTGTATTGCTATAAAATGTTGACTTTCTCAACAAAAAAAAAAAGAGGGTTCAAAATATTAATTGAAATGTCTCTCAATATGTTTATTAAGCATAGGAAGACTTCAAATAGCCAACTTAAAACAAAAAACCAAAAATATCTAAACAAAACCTAGTAGCACTTTAAAATTCAAATTCGTCCTAAAGCTAAGCAACTTATTATGCTACAAATTACTACAGTAACTAAAGTAAAATTTCAACATTCAAGTCATAGTTGAGAACTCAAAGTTATAACATCTTCAATGCAATGATTCCGAACTAGTTGGGTACAGATAGATGATCTATATATATACCTCTCCATGTGGTAAGACTGAAAGTAAATATTGTTTGAACATCAAACATAATCGAAGAATATCGTATTGAATATTCTTCACTGTTATGTCATAATTAAGAATCCCACCAAATTAAGATATTTTCTTATTTTATGTTAACTCAAATTCGCATATGTAATAAGCCCTTTTTTTTTTAAATGGTAGTGTTGTATTCCTTAGCATTAATGACATGTTGAATACCTCCAAAAAGAAACACGGTAGCAAAAGTTATTACAAAGATCCCAAAAGATCAACTATTTGTTCTACTTCCTCTTTTATACCAACAAAGATGCAATACATTTACATTTAACTTTTGGTATAGAATAAAATTTATCCTCAAAACATCTCTCATTCTTTTCTTTACAAACTGTCCAACATATGCATGCTGGGATTATTCTCCACTTCTCTAAGCTCTTGCTCCCCCCCTCTTCTGATCCAGAAACCAACAGATAAGCAGTATGTTTTGGCATTAACCATTTGTTGTTTCACTGTTTGTGAGGCTCAAAAATAGGGTCCAGATCTGTGTTGTTACTTTACAATGTAAAAACAGATGACTATTGGTCTCCTATGCCTCATTGCATAAAAAAATCTGGATACTATTTGGAACCCTTTCCTTTTATACTTCCCGTCTAAGACAAGTTCTTCTGACCACCAACAATTAAGAAAAAACACTTGACCTCAAGCTCTTTATACCTACTTCCATGGTCCTATCCCACAGCCTGATCGTTCTCACTTCTTTTTTATAGCTTGCTCACTGAGAATCTCAGTGTGTTTCTATTTTAATTGTGATGGGACCTGGAGAGATCCCTTTCAAACCACCGACCTACTACAAAAGTTGTGCGACTCTACATAATTCCCTGTCATTCAGATGTCTCCTTAATGAGATACCCATCCATTGAACCAACATTCAACTATTGTGACCTCCAGTTTGCTACAAAGTGAAAATAAATCAGGGAAGGAGTTCACCAAGGCCTCCACAGTCCATTCCATGCTTCTTTCCAGAAAAGAATTTTGTCGCCATTACCCACCCTGTACGTGATATTACCTGATAGTTAAGGCCAGAGAGCCCTTATTGTCTTCCATACTAAAATTCCACAAGGGTTTGTAACAACATTAGTACTCCATTAGTTACTTTGGTCATACATGCTTTGTATGACTTCCTACTATAGTGTTTGATCCTCCTCCATATATCTCCACAACCATTTCATCAGAAGACAGTCATTCTGTATTTTTAGATTCCTAACACCAAGGCCACATGATGTCTTGGAAAGTTGAGCAATTTTCCAGTTAACTAAATGAAACCCCCTCCTCTCCTTGTTTCCAGATCATAAAAAAACCACTTCTCAGTTTATTTAGCCTCTTCAAAACTTTTGGTGGGATGGGAAGTAAGGACATAACATAAGTAGGTAAGAATCTAGCACTAAATAAATGTGTCTTCCCCCTAAGGGAAGATTTTGAGATTTTCACCTGGCTAGCTTCTTCTCTGTCTTTTCTATCATCCCATCCCACATTTCCAAGTCCTTGTATTTGGTGCCCAAAGGCATGCTCAGATAAACAATTGGAGTTGTTGACCTACTGTGCACCCCAGGATGTTAGCCAGTCCCCGCATCTGAGCCACTTGATGCTTTTCCTCAAATTTACACATAAAACTGAGACTTGCTTCCAAAGTTAAACAACACCCTGATGAAGCTAATTTACTCTGTTTTGTCCTCACAAAAGATTACAATACACATTTTCATAAAGCAAATGACATGTTTCCAGTCCTGCCGTAATATTCAAATTGAATCCCTTCAACCACCTGTTTTGAATTGTCAGCCTCATCATACTGTTAAAACCTTCCATGGCTATTATGAACAAAAATGGTAAGAGAGGGTTACCCTGTCTGAGACCCCGCCCCAGATGGAAAAAGAAAAACTACAGGTTCTCCATTTACCAGAATTAAGAACTTGACAGTTTTAAAGCAAAAACAATCCATTTCAGCAACCTTTATCCAAACCCCAATTGTTTGAGTATACTTGGAAGAAAATCCCAGTTGACATGCTCAGAAGCCTTCAGCCACCTTTCTCAAAACCCCAATTGTTTGAGTATACTTGGAAGAAAATCCCAGTTGACATGATCATAAGCCTTCTCTAAATCTAACTTGCACATGATGTTCAGTTCTTCTCCTCTCAATCTGAAATCCACATACTCAAGGGGAGCAGCATCCATGATCTCTTTTCTTTATGAAAGTTATCTGGTGTTTATTTACCAACTTATATATCCCACCGTAAGGCTTATGGGCCTAAAATTGCTCAGATCAAAGACTCCACTTTTCTTGGGGATGAGAGCAACGTACATGGCATTGAGGCACTTTTCAAAGACTTGATATTCATGAAAATGTTGCTTAGTGTTCATGATATCCTCCTTCAGAATATCCCAAGGGACTTGATAAAAACACATTGAAAACCCATCAGGCCCTTGTGCCTTGTCACTAGCACAAATTCTAATGCACCCAATAACTTCTTCAAACTGTCTTTGTAGCCACTTTTGTTCCTCAATGTTGATGCTTGTGATCCCATGTAGGTTGATACAGGTTTCTATCTCTTTATATAAGTTCTAATAAAAAAATGGATGGCCATCTTTATGGTATATAGATCAGAGATAGTAACCCCCTCCTCTTCTAGTGTGTCTATAGAGTAGAATCTCTTATGAGCATTGCGAATTCTGGAAATATTTTGTGTTGTCCCCATTCTTCAACCATTGAACTCTAGATCTCTGACTCCAAGTTATTTCCTCATTCTTGGCAAGCTCCTCAAACTTCATAGCTAGATGAGCTTTTTGGAGTTTATCATCAGTGAGTGCTCTCTGTTCCATGATACTCTCCATTCCAGAGAGTCTACACAAAATATCCTCTCTCCTTTGTCTCCAATTGTTCCAGTTGTCCTTCCCCCAATCTTTCAGTTTCCCTAAAGTAGCTTTCAATCACAGCAACAATAAGTCGCAATATGAGCACTTGGTGCTTGTTATACATATTCTATCATGTAGATAAATTCTTGTCAAGAGAAATGTTTAGAGGCCAGGATAAAAGCAGGACTTCTAGTGACCCATTGTTCAAACATAAAATATTATTTCTTGAATTCCCAATCACCACATATTAATAAAATGATTGTGATCTGACCCAATTTTGGAAGCAAAAATTGTTTAATTGGAAGGAAAAGTTCCACCAAATGAGAAACAGAAAAAAATGTCTATTCTGGAAGCACTCATGTGATAGTCACCCCTCCTCCATGTGTATTGACTCTCCAAATAAAAGAGGGTCAAAGAATTCCATGTTATCAGTCTGAGAATTCAAACATAGCTCCTGAAATTCTTTGGCAGTTTGTTCTCTCGTCTGGATATCTGATGATGTTGAAATCCCCCCATAAATGACCCATGGCCCTTTACATACACTTTTTATAGCAGCCGGCTCCCATCATAGTTGCGTACTTTCAATTTTGCTACATTCAGCATAAATTGCTCTGAACCACCAAGTTAAGTCTTGGTCAATGCCTTCAAACTTGCAAGTGATCAATTTGGTCACCACTGTCCACCACTCCCCCCCCCTCCAATTCCTTTATCCCACAACACAACTATCCCTCCACTCCATCTTATAGAGAATCTTCCCTGTCCATTTCTTACGCCACATTTGCTAAAAAAACTCACCAACCTTGACAGATTTGTATCAACTAGCACATATATGTCAGCCCCCTACTATAGCAGCAAATTTCTAACAAGACTCCTTTTATTCCACCTTGTTTAAACCCCTTACATTCCATGTTAAAATTTTGATCATCGTGGATTCCCAGCAAGTGCAATCCTCCTTCTGTTCCTTGGTTCCCCTTCTTTGAACTTCATGTCAAAAGTCAGGTTTCACACCTCTTTTGGAATTGTTGTTTTGCTTATAAGTCTTGTTCTCCCCTAGGTCTTTGTTTCAACCCTCTCTTCTGATCTATCTTAAAAGCTAATATGCTTTTTTCTCCTAACCTTCAAAGGAGGCATCAAATTGTTGGCTTAACTTGATGATATTAGAGGGAATGCATAAGGTAGCCCGTTCCACTAATTCTTCCTCATTATTTGAGTCACTTATATGTAGTGGAACTTCCACTATGTCCCTGAATACTACAAGTTGGTTATGATCATTCTTCTTTTCTTCCTCTTCTTTCCTAGAAATTTCTGTCAGTGAAATTTTTCTCTTTTCCATCCTATTCTAGAAGTAGGAACTCCCAAACACCTCCACTAATAACTACTTATGAATCCTCTGAAAATTAAATTCCTAAAATGTCTATCAAAGTTAATAGACTTTTTTACCCTTCACTTAAACATTACCCTATGATATTATTGTACATAATAAATGCAAATATATATTCTAATAAATGGGATTTTAGATATAATTAGTGTATACTTGTACATCTCGTAAAAATTCCGTTTGCATTCAATGCATTGAGTGGCTTCATTTAATTGTCATAAGTTGGTTAGTATAAACTTTTAAATTATTTCTTAAGTGTGACTATTATTAATTTAATGAGTTTATACATATATAATCTTGTTATAGGAGGCACCAAGTAGGAAGTGAAGTTTTGAAAAAATGAGTATGTAAGGGACTTACCGTCTATCTAGGACAACCATCAAAAGAGTGTTTTGGGAAAAATTAATATACTTTGGGAAAGTATATAAATCTGAAAAGTTCAACTACTTAATCAGCATCAGGGCATCATTATAGTTATATAGTGACATGTTACAGTGGGTCTTGTCAAGGCGTGCATAGGTGGCAGCTTTACATTGGTTCTAAGTTTAGATTGCAAAGTTAATGACAAGGTCTTGCCAATAAATTTATGTACAAATATGGCTTATGCAGGATAAAGCAAGGGATTTATATGGGATTAAATTACATCTCTTTAGACATGAACTTTGAGGGAAAGAGCACAAGTTAGTTTAAGGGTCTTGTTTATGACCTTATAAGGTGGGCTCTGGACTTCTCTTGGATCAACTTTGAAGATATAAAGTATAAACACAGCGATATCACAGCGCCTCTGATATGCAGTAGCAGCAAGCTTCCAATAGAAATTTAGAGGGTTTGCTTCAGCAGCTACTGCAGAAATATAGAAGTGAAAAATCACCGTTAACCCCTTTTTGAGATAAACCACGAGTTCTCTTCGTGATTTCAACTACCTTTTTGATGTGGGTATAAATATTTAAGGGTTTATGATAAATTATTCAGTGCTGAAGAAGAGACTATGCTATAGGTTGGATTTAATCTGAAGAATTTGAACTTAGAAATTCAGTTTCAAAAAACATTTGAACTTGGAAATTAAGAGATTGAACCCTAAGTCCTAGATTGGGGAGGAAATTGAAAAGTTGAAGGATTAAACCACCAAGTGGACTCCAACTGAGAAATTAACTATAAATTTGGACTCTACGGCTTATGGATAATGTGTCGACCAAATTCTGATCTCAGATAGTTGACTGACGGCAAGTTTGAGTTGACACAAGATATGACTTTAACCCCGAGGTGTCCTAAATTAGTTTTTCTACATTAATTTGAAATCGTTATTTATGTTTTTGCTTAGATTGAGTTGCTATGAGGCCTGAGGGCACAAATTTGGATATTGTGAGCTTACTTGTAGAGTGAATCTAGGTAAGAGAAGATCTTAACTTCTGAGTACCGTTCTTCACTTCTTCTAAGCTTGGTCTTTGCCTACATATATGTTTTCGACTATCTGGCACCTGTGTGGAGTGAGTATGTGCTCGGCAGACTTATTAATATTGTGATTCCTTTACACTTTTGAGATTTGGTGATATCTTCAAGATACGTTGTGATTTGAATATTACTGGTTGTGTGGCTATTTAGCCTTAGGATTGATGTATTTACTTGATTTTACATGTCCTCGGGTGTATCTAAAGATAGTTAAGCTAGAGTCACCCTCCACATCTCGAAGAGACTCCGCGTAAGGCGTTGGTCCAAAGCCACCATTCACAGCCGAAATGGTAAGACTGCCAGAGTTACCCTTCGCGGTTCTGAAAATTTGTTGTTGTGTATGGTAAGACAGTTGGACCAGAGTTACAGATCTGAGGTTTTGTTGTTGTGTATTAAGACGGTTGGGCCAGAGTTCCCCTCCGCAATTCCGAGGTTTTGTAGTTGTGTATGGTAAGATAGTTGGGCTAGAGTTACCCTCCACAATTCGAAGGTTTTATTGGCGCGTATTGTTGTACTACATTAGCTTGCATCTCATCATCATCTTTCTTGACATGACTAATATCTCTCTTCTACACTTTGTATACTATTTTCCTTAGCATATTGTATATTCATTTTTATATGTATATATATATATATATATATATGAATGTGTATATATATATATACATACATACATATATATGAATGTGTATGTATATATATGTGCATATATATATACATATATATATATATATATGTATATATATGTGTGTGTGTGTGTGTATATTGCTTACTTGCTCCAGGTACGAGATGGACCAGAGCTAGACTTTACTTAGTCTTTGTGACTAACCCTATCCGCTACATATGCAAATGTGTTAGCTAACGCTTCGGTTGATGAGTGAGTCGCCTGACACCAAGTCTTTTACAAGCTTTGAGGTGAGCCATGCTCTAGATCCACAGAAGTCACATATCTATCTATCTTTCTATTTCCTTATTTTTACTGGGGTTTGCATACTCAACATGAGATACTTGAACTGATTCTTATAGATTCTCCGGACTTAGGTTACTTTGGCTCTAGTTGGGTTTGTTGAGATATTTCCTTTCATTATTTCCATTGAATTCGTAATCTATGATTTGGTTTTTTTAGACTTCATCATTCTTTTCGGGTTATGTTAGCTATTTTTTTATTATTCAGTGGGATTGTTGGTTGCCAATCAAAGCTGGGGGTAGTTAGGGTCGTGACAATACTCAACACATCTAATCAGATTATTGGAATAGTCAATTTAATTTTTAGATATGCATCAAGTCATGCAGTAAAAATGGATTAAAGAAAAATAAGTGAATGAGATCTCACTTAACCGTTAGAAAACGTGAAGAAATAGGATTTTAAAGGACACTTCCTCTTTAAGCTCCATCCTATAAGTCTTTTCACTACTCATACAAGTATATAAAAGCCAATGTACAAGTACGATATATTTGTTATCCTCTAAAATTTATGATATCTTTTTGTGTTCCCAATCAAATTCATGAAATCTTAATTTGGTAAGGATTTCATCTCTCAACTTTAAGAACAAGCTGATGAAATGTTGTTCAACCTTAATTTTTTTTGTTATTAATCCTAAAGTATCAACAACGATCATGCTTGTATACTTTGTTGGTTGCAGATATCTGATATCGTTTTCACTCAGTAGGTTCTCTTTTCATTTATTTTTTCATATTTTTCTAAGGACATTCTTTGTTTCAAAAAAGATGTTTGTGAGTATACTCATGGTATGATCTTGGAGTTTGAATCTAACACGTACACGTAAGTCTTCTTTTTCTAACCTTGATTTTAACATTATTCTCTTTTTAAAAAATTGGTAACTTCCATTACATTATTCTCTCTATCTAGTGCCAACATTATCTAGCAACACTATCTTCACCTTATTAAGATTTTCCCTGAAACTCTTAGCCAAACACGGTTAAACTTGGTTGACATGCCAATGTGTATTTAGTATGCACACAATTAGTTTTTTTTCTCCACTTTTTCATTAAGATTTACCACCCACAAAAGATGAATGATAGTGTGGGGCATGATTTTTTTTCTTTATTTAGTTAAATCAGATCAACATTTTTCATTTTCAAAAACTTGTAGAAAAAAATCAATTTTTATTTCATAATTCAAACATATTTGTTGAATATTATTTATGTAATTCTTTTAAAGGTTTGTTCCACAGAAATGGCATACACGCATGTTGCATGTGCTCAGACACTACTCATGATTAAAATGTAACATCAAAAAGTCTAGCTATTACACTAGGAAGTCACGTTGATCTAGCTTTACAAGTGATGGATTGAGAGATACTCACACAGATGGTTGTATCCAACATAACTTTTGCGATCCAGAAAAGAACAAGCATAAGCCTCCCTGCAAAATACTTCAAGAAATTTCTCCTGCATGGAAGCAACCAAAATTATGTAAGACATTGTAAGCATGTGTAGCAAGTTAACATGCAGACGAAAGCTAATACTACTGCTACTACTCCAGTTACAAAATTAGTAACTTCCACAAGCTTTGAAATAGTCTATCGGAAAGCGTAGGTATGGGTCAGGTTTGCGTGCTCCCCAACCTTCCTGGACCCCACTTGTGGGATCACACTGATATGTTGTTGTTGTTGTTGTTGTTGTTGTTGCACAAGCTTTGAAATTAATCAACTCAAAAGCAAATCATTTATCCTTTTCTTTTCTTATTTGCCTTCATTCTCCTTATAACACAACCCAGAAGACCACCTAAGACAAATAGGCTGAAAGCACAAATCCAAATAGGCAGCTTACTTCACCTAAAACCCTGGGCTTAGGCTTGATCTTAATCTAAAGTCCATTTCAAACTGATCCCCACCAAAGTGAAATGCTTCACTTGGTTAGTCATCAAAAGAGCCTGCTTAACTCAAGAAGTGTTACAGAAGAAAGGAATGCAACTAGTCCCTAGCTGTTTCCTATGCAATTTGACTGGGGAAACAAACAAACACCTATTTTTACATTGCCAATTCACTACACAGCTCTGGGAGCTGTTTCTCAACATCACAGGCTGCAGCTGGACTATGCCAGAACACACTTCTGATATTTTTAAATGTTGGATCAGAAGGGGGGTTAGCAAGACTCAAAAGAAGTGGTGGAAGCTAATACCATCATGCATATGGTGGTCAGTGTGGAAGGAAAGAAATGGGAGATGTTTTGAAGATAGATCTAACTCCATTCACAAAGTAAAATGGAATTGTTTGGTATCTTTACTTTTTTGGTGTAAACAGCTCTGTATAGAAGATGTAGATCAAATTATAGAATTAATAGGGAGCTTGTAAATTTGGTTAGGGCTGTAAATTTTTTAAGGTGGCCAGCATGTCCTTAATGCTAAAGAATACAACTTTACAAAATGTTCAAAAAAAAAAAAAGATGCTGGAAGGGGCAAAGAAGAACCAATAACATAAAAACAAAAGAAAATTTACAGTGAAACAACCAAGGCTACAGAAAATATGATAGGAAAAAGGAAAGAACAATGAAACTGTTTCGAAGCAAGCAATTCACCAGAAACGGGTCTTACACTTTTGAGCGGAATTCTTCTCTTGATCATATAATGGACAACAAAATGCTACTACAATTTTAAAGTAAAGAATCTACGCCTCAATGCTCAGCAAAAGCATTTCAAATAGTCTCTGCTAATAAAATAAAATGTTGTAGAGAAAATGATATAAACCTGGACTGCAATAATTAACTAATTTGGTGCAACTATATTACCAGAGAAAAGAAAAGCAACATGGACACAACATAAAAAATCAGAAAGCATCATAGATGTTTTCTAGTCCAATAAATGACACTAGATTTACAATTGCCAAATATATGAAGCATCTACCCAATTCAATGGACTTTGAAACAAGGATTTCCATGCTCCACCAGTCTTACTCTTCAATGCATGAGAGACATGAATATTTCACCAACACAATTAGATGCTAGAGGAAGTAAGGCATGGATTGGTTTAGGCCAGCTAAGAATATGGTATTTCTAAGGATCATCTTTAGCTTAAGGATGTGAATAATATTCACAGCTACGTTCCATATTACTTGTTGTGGCTTCAATATGTTCCTAGTTATACTTATGATATTATTCCTGTAAAAAAGAGAGTTTCATTACTTTCTCAAAGAAAAAAAAAAGGAGTTCCATATGTGATATTAGGCCAAATCATGTATGCCTTTAGCAGCCTAGTCCAAATCTCACACTGGTAAGTGGCTTCTGCAATCTCCAATAATTCAATCAACAGTTATGCCTCAACCTCAAATTAACTGAGGTCGGATTCATGAATCCCAAAAAAAATAAAAATTGCTCTATACTTCTATTCAATTTCACTTGATTCCAGTGCTGTCGAAAGGGCAAATAAGGAGTTCTCTAGAACTAGAGGTTCTCTAAACCACACACTTATCAGTAATACGGGGATAAGTCTCTAACACGACAAAAGGACTTCCTATCAAAACCAGACTTATTGTAAGTGTAAGACAACTAAGCCTTAATCCCAACTAATTGGTATCACGAATTGCTTTCATTGTGTCTTTTCTTAGCCAAGTCAATATTTAAGCCGAGATATCGTAGGTCTACTAAGAGTCTATTACCTTCTTCAGTCATCGCATTATCATACCTCTGAGTCGGTGCATATACAGGCTTATGTAATAGTAAGACATGGTTCTTTGTGGTTAACATAAGACACGATAAAACTACCTAGGTGAAATTCTCTCATTTTATCCTCTATTTGTGTTATTTACATCCTCTGTTGGATATTCTCACCTCTAATTTTTTGTATTCTACATAACATTCATCTTAATATCCACATTTCTACACCATTCATCTTAATATCCACATTTTTGCTCATCACATAGCACACTCGGACTACTTTTCATTTCATCGACGTTCTTTTGATTTATTTATTTTCGTTAGATCTCCATCTATTATGTCATTGTCACGTAAGATTTAACTTATACATCTAAATGTCAGCATTTACACTAAATGATCTTGTCAAAACTTACTTCACCTTTCTTTACTTGAGATATTGTGTATATCATAAATGCCTCCAGCAGGATTCTCAGTCCACATAACACTAAAAGAAGTTTAACAATCTCCAAAATCAGTGAGCAATGGAGGTTTTAGGCTGCATTTGTGTTAATTGGTCACTTATTGAATAGAAGTCCTCGAAGTCAAAGAACGAATTTTGAAAGGATTAATATGAGAAATGCCTTATCAGGAACTCTTTTATAACATCAATGTACATAAGACAATGAAAATTATATGTACAGCATCAAATATTGAACAATTGAATAAGGATTGTAGAGCCATACCGTAGCTTTGTTAACAAGGAAGGTTGCTTCGTGTAACATCCTAATATCAGCATTTTCATTTTTTATTATCCGATGGACTCGGTTATGGGGAAATTGGTAAAGCACACTCTCACTCTTCTCTTCTTCCTCCTCTTCATCATCCTCCCTTTTCTTCTTTGCCTTCAATTTCTTCTCCTCATTCTTTTTGGTGGTACCATTGCTAATTGCTTCATCTTTTACCTTGCCATTATTTGTTTTACCCTCCTTTTCCTTCTCCCTTTTCATCTTCTCCTTTGTAGATGGACTTGCAACTCCATTACTATACGATTTTTTCACTAGCTTTTCTTCAGCCTCTTCATCTCCTTCCTTTTTATTTTGTGTCTTCTTCATATTTTTCTCTTCTTTTTTCAACTGACTCAAATCACCATTGATCTTGGCCTTTTTTGCTGATTGTCCTTCTCTTTCTCCTTCGTCTGTCCTTTTCTTCTTCTTGTTCTCTTCCTTCTTAATTACACCTCCATGACTAGAACCTCCATTGCTCTTTCCCTTTTTTGCTAGTTTTGTTTCTCCTTCTACTTCCCTCCTCTCATCCTTCTTGTTCCTCTTTTCATTTTTGCCTCCACGACTAGAATCTCCATTGTTCTTTGCCGTTTTACCTTCATTCATTTTATCTTCCTTCTTTGCCTTTTCATTCTTCTCCTTCATATTTTTCTCCCTATAATCCTTTTTGCTTTTAGCCATTTTTGCACCGACATTTTGCTCCTTTTCTTCAACCTCCTCTTCTTTTTCTATCATCTTCTTCTTTCTCGTATATATTTTCAAGTTTTCACTCTCGCTCTGCCCACTACCACCCACTATTTTCTTCCCCTTTCTTCTATAAACCTTCTTCTGTACTTCCAAATCCTCCTTCCTGCCCCGGCTGTTAGTATTAGCGACTTTGCTACCCTCGACTTTTTCTTCCTCCTCTTCTTCTTCTTCGTCCGTATCACTTACATACTCCTTGTGAACATTCTGTACGTCGTCGCTTTCTTCCTCGGTTTCATCGGCGTCTTGTGATTCGGCACTGGAAGATGGAATGACGAAATCCTCCGGCTCATCTCCGTCGTGGTTGTCGGAATTTCCGTTACTCTTCTTCGGCATTACTGCAATCTAGTAAGTTAAATGGCTGCCGCCGGTTGCAACGGATGTCCGCGGCGGAGAAGGGCACTTAGTTGCTGATTCAATTTTCGCAGGCGTTATAATATTAAGGGCTTTTTGCCCAAGTGAAGAAACTCACACGTGGCTTTCGGACTCGCAGTGGGCTTTGCTTCCTCTGTTGAAACATGTGAAAAAATACGCCTGTTGGCCTTGTTAATAATTATTGTGTCCAATAATATTTGTCCACTATAGACTTTGCATATTCTTAAAAAATTATAAATAAAAAAGATAATTTTACTATATCATAATTAATTATAAGGATAAAAAGAAATTAAGTGTAAAATTATATATTGATTTCATAAAACGAAAAAGTATTGTTAAACATCCCAAAATAGTATATTGGATAACTATTGTTAGACTAAGGAAGTAATGATAATTGACATACTCCTTCCGTCTCATATTAATTGATCATCTTACTAAAAATAATTGTTGCATATTAATCGTCCACCTTACTAAATCAAGAAAACACTAATTAAAATTTTCATGTATTAACCTTGCAATTAATTCTTTTTTAAAGTGTTCACATTATTTGTAAAATTCTCAAGAAGTTTTTTGAAGGGTGAATTAGTAAAATTATCTTCTTATTTATGATTTCTTAATATGCAAAGAACAAAATGATCGATTATTATGGGACGGGAGTAATACATAAACGTTCTCTTTAACTTGGCATTAGTTGTCATATGTACCCTTCAATTTTGAATGTATATGAGTAAATATTTAAATTTGTATAAAATTGAATAGTAGACATACACATTCTATGTGGCATTATATAGTAGGACGTCTTGTAGGACTGCAAATTGTCAGGTAGGATATCACATATGATATGTGTCTATTTGTCCAATAGTATACAAGTTTTAGCATCTACTTATGCACACTCTAATTTGGATGGTATAAACGTCAATTGAAACTAAGTTAAATGACATATATATATATATTAGATTAAATGGAAAAGAGTAGGAAAAAAATATTCTTAAACTCTGAAATTGAATAAAAAAAAATATTAGCATGGATAAATGGTATGTACCAGTTCTCAGAATCAGAAACAGGAAGATCAACATCAGTCAAGAATAACATGTACACCGAATTAAAACTTATATAACAAAGATGACTGAATATGACCACTGCATATAACAAAGATGGTATAACCATCGTTATGGTGTAAAACTTATATTTAAGTCTGGGTGGTACTTTCTTATCACACAAGACCGTAGAGGCATACCTCCATTTCATTAATGTCATCCCAATGCGGTGTATGACATCATCGTCGATATTTTTACTATCTTAAATTACGGACCCAAGATACTTAAAACTTTCTCTCTTTAAAATATTATGTACAAACCTTAATTTCACGTCCACTTCATTCAATGCAACACTGAATTTGCACTCCAAATATTTCATTTTGGTCTTACTCAACTTGTACTCGTTGAACTTTAGAGTTTATCTCCAAATGTCCAACCTAGCATTAACTTTGTTTAGTGTCTCCTCAATCAATACTATGTCGTCAACTAAAGGTGACAATGGGGCGGGACGGGTGCAAAGTAGGGCGGGTTTAAGCATATGCGGGACAGGCGGGTTGGGATAAATGTGGTTGCGGGACGGGATAAAATTAAAAAATACATAATTTATGTGGTGCGGTGCGGGTGTGGGTTAGGGCAGAAACAACTTTAGAAATCAGAAGCTACGCTTAATGTGATCCGAAAGATCTTGCTAATTAATGTGATTACTTTTAGCTATTGGAAGTTAGCAATTTTTATTTTATTTTTGTAAGTTGTCTAAATAATGATAACAATAATCTCTTATAAATGTACTAGAGGGGCATGGCCCGTGCTTGAGTACGGGCCCAATATTTTATACTTCAAAGTGATAAGACGTATAAAGATACACAGTTATAAACATTTGCAACTATATATTGATGCAAAACTATATTGAACAAATACTTAAGTTTACACAAAAATACACTTTCATATATGCATTTTACATATTCAAAATAATATAACATCAATAATCCTTGTCTACAAATATCCTTGTCTCAATAGTTTGGTAAAAAATGTCCCTATTATTATTTAATGGGTTAAAATTGCATCATTTTCAAGTAAATATATTATTTACTTAATGGGTCAAATTCATAATTTACTTAATAATCTATGTCACTTGATCCATGTGTTAAAATAAATTAAATGAGGTTTACTCTAATTTTTGTCATTGTACGAATAATTGCGGCCTTTACACCCAATTCACAAAGAGAACACCATTGCACGAACAAGAAAACAAAAATCAAATTGAGAATGTCAGGTAAGATTTTTCGGCCGACCTCTATTTCCTTTTGTATGCATAGATTGATTGTTGCATAGAATGTCAGGTAAGATATATATATATATTAACCCTAAAATAAAGAAGGGAAAATATAGCAAACTATTAATTCAAATTAAATGCTATAAATATACTTTGATTTAATTGTACCCTATAGCAAACTATTGCTATTTTCGCTGGTGGAATCTCACTCGCCACTCTCGTTTGGTGGCAGTCTCGCTCGCCTCTCTCACTTTATACAAAAACGCAAATGTATAAAATGCGTTTGTGTTTGTATAAAGCGAGAAGAAATTGTATATATACATATATTTCCGTTCCCCTCTCTCCCCTCTCCCAGATCTCGCTCTCTCACTTTATACAAAAACGCAAATGTATAAAATGCGTGAAAATTGTATATATACATATATTTTCGTTCCCCTCTCTCCCCTCTCCCAGATCTCGCTCTCTCACTTTATACAAAAACGCAAATGTATAAAATGCGTGAAAATTGTATATATACATATATTTTCGTTCCCCTCTCTCCCCTCTCCCAGATCTCGCTCTCTCACTTTATACAAAAACGCAAATGTATAAAATGCGTGAAAATTGTATATATACATATATTTTCGTTCCCCTCTCTCCCCTCTCCCAGATCTCGCTCTCTCACTTTATACAAAAACGCAAATGTATAAAATGCGTGAAAATTGTATATATACATATATTTTCGTTCCCCTCTCTCCCCTCTCCCAGATCTCGCTCTCTCACTTTATACAAAAACGCAAATGTATAAAATGCGTGAAAATTGTATATATACATATATTTTCGTTCCCCTCTCTCCCCTCTCCCAGATCTCGCTCTCTCACTTTATACAAAAACGCAAATGTATTAGTTTTTTTTGCCTTTCTCTCTTTCTCGTTTTATACTTACACAGATTATACAATTGATCTTTTGTATACAACTGTTTTCTTTGTATATGTATAGCGAATTATACAACTGTTTTTTTTTGTATATGTATAGCGAATTATACATATATATGTTTGTTATTGAGCACAATTATGCAAACTTTGTTATAGCATACAAATATGAATTTTGTGTTTGCTATATGTGAAAGTTGCTCAAAGAATAACATATATTGGACTTGTGCATTGGACTTGTGCTAACACGGACTCTATAGCTAATTTTAATAGGGATTTTTACATAAATAATATATTTTATTTGATTAATTACAATTTTAAGTGTTACTTTATTTTTATTACCATATATGACATAATTTTAGCTTTAATAACCATTTGATATAAATATGTATTGAAGTTGTATTAAAATTGTATTAAAGTTGTATCAAAACAATATTAAAGTTGTATCAAAATTGTTTTAAAGTTGTATCAATATTGTATTGAAAGTTGTATCAAAACTGTATTATTATTATTGTAGAACAAATGTAATACATTTCTAACAATGTAAACTAATTTAAATAGTATCGAAATGTTTGAAATTCACATATAATACTTGTAATATATTTGTATTAAAAATGTTTTAGTTGTATATTAGGCGAAGTTCTAAGAAATTGTATTAAAGTTGTATCAAAACTGTATTAAATATAAACATTTGGTGGTCTGATGGTGATGATTTATCAAAAAAAAGAGGTGAAGCTCTGAAAAATCTGTATTAAAATTGTATAAATATAAACGATAGTTATAACACAATTCGAATCATACATTACTATAAATTAAGAAAAATGTAAACTAATTTAAAGTATCGAAATGTTTGAAATCACATATAATATTTCTAATTATATTAAAAATATTTAAGTTATATATTCACCAAATGTACAAAATAGAAAGATGAACAGAGAAAAAAAAGGAGAGAGGGAGAAAGAGAAAACAAAAAAAAATAAAATTAAAGAGAGTGAAACGAAAATAAAAATAAAATAAAGAGAAATGAAAAACGAGAAAAAAAAAAAAGAGAGTGAAAAACTGGAAAAAAAAAAAGAAAAGAGGAGGGAGAGAGCCAAAAATGTCATAAATGGTAAAATACATTATATTACTATAAATGATAATTATGAAAATAATATATACTCCATCTGTTCCTAATTACTTGTCCACTTTTCTTTTAATTGTCCTTAATTACTTGTCCATTTTGACTAAGGACAATTTTTTTTCTTATTATACCCTCAATTAATTATTTTGAAAAAGGTAGAACTTCTTGAAAATCTTAAGTTTTATAATTCATCATCTTCATAATTAATAGGAATAATTCACTATGATAATTGTTTTCTTAATACGTGTGTGAATTCAAAAGTGGACAAGTAATTAGAGATAGAGGGTATTGTTTATGTAAAATGACCATTTTAATATAGGAGGCTAGAATAACTTAAACTCTCTCCATCATCTACTCTTACATTTCCCATATCATCTACGGTTACATAGTAAACATCGTCAAAGAAAGCAGCCATTCATATTATGCTATTACATTTATGAATTAGTTCAATATTGAAAAGATGAACTAGGACCAATTGTGCTAATTGGATCCAGTGAATTTTGAAATTATCATTTTTTTCCTTCTATTTCTTACCTCATATTTTAAATTCAATTGGAAGCATCGATAAGTTGTGTCCTATAACAAAATAGGTCGTCAGGTTTTCTTTTATATACCTAAGATAATGGTGAAGAAGCCTACGAAGAAAATACTGAAATAATAAAATCTAGATCTGACTAGCCAAAATGACAACTTCCAAGCTACAGCCTGCAATGTATACCTTTGAGTTTTGCATACAATTGAGTTCAAAAGGTGCATATCTTCCC